GGCTCGTGTAGTCTATACACATGCGCCACTTGTTGTTCTTCTTTAGCACAAGGACCGGGTTGGCGAGCCACTCTGGAAAGAAAACTTCCATGATGAAGCCGGCCGCCAAGAGCCGGGCTATCTCCTCCCCTACAATCCGGCGCTTCTCCTTCGACAATCGGCGAAGGGGTTGTCTGACTGGCTTTGCGTCTTATCGAACGTGTAGTTTGTGCTCGGCGAATTTCCTCGGAACACCCGACATGTCCTTGGGGGACCATGCAAAGATGTCCCGATTCTCACGGAGGAAATCGGCGAGCTCGCCTTCCTATTTGCTGTTCAGGTTCACCCCGATGATGGCAAACCTCTCTGGATGCTCGAGGTCAAGAGGTATCTTCTTCGTCTCCTTGGCCGGCTGGAAAGATCCTTGGGCGTCATGCTCCTTGGGGTCGGGGGACACGGCCGACTGTTTGCCGGCTATGGCCACGACTCGGTCCAACATCTTCTTCTCTTCGGCAATCACAAGGGACTCGGCCAGCCGGCTGCTGGCCGCTGCGCACTCGGAGGACTTCTTGTAATCACCGGCTACGGTGATGACGCCTTTGGTGCTTGGTATCTTCATCTTGAGGTATGCATAGTGGGGAACTGCCATGAATTTGGCCAAGGCAGGTCGGCCCAGCAATGCATGGTAAGGGCTCTCCAGGTCCACCACTTCAAACCAGATCGCTTCCCGGCGGAAATGCTCCTTGTCCCCAAAAAGTACATCAATCTTGATTTTGCCAATGGGGGCGCAGGACAGGCCGGGTACGATGCCGTGGAACACTGTCCGAGTGGGCGTGAGCTGCTTTGTCTTGACGTTTAGCTTCTCCAGGGTGTCACGGTACAGGATGTTGATGCTGCTCCCGCCGTCTATCAACACACGAGAGAAGCGGGCGGCGCGTCTGTCCATTGCGAGGGTGGCTTCCAGGACCAAGGCATAAGAGCCGGGAGACGACATCACCTCCGGATGGTCGGCCCGGCTCCAGCTGATGGGCTTTTCTGACCAATGCATGTGTCCGGCGGGGCTGGCAGCGACCACGCTAACTTCCTGGCGCTCTTGGTGTTTGCTGCGCCGGTCTTCGGGCTGGCTCGTAAAGATGATGTAGGTTGCTTGCTTGTCAGGGAACTCGTCATGCACGGCTCCGACTGTGGGCCGAGCGGCCGGAGGCGGCGGAGGCGGCGGGCCGGCAGGCGGAGGCGACACGAGCCCCTCGCCCTTAGAGATTCGGGTGAGCCAATGCCACTTCCGGGTCGTGTGGTTGGACGGCTTCGCGCCACTGTGGAACTTGCAAGGGATGTCGAGGGTTTGCTTGTAGGAGAAGGCGGGCTGCCAAGCCGGCCTGCCGCCCTTGGGCTTCTTGGGCGCCGGTCGTTCTTCAGGCGGCGCATCTTCGATCGTGGCCACCTGCCGGCTGGCGGGAGGCGGCGCGGGGCCCTTGCGCTTGTGGTCGTTCGAGTTGGGGTGTCGGCCGGAATCCCCAGCCGGCGTCTTGGGCGCCGGGTTGAGTACCTTTCCGGACGCGTCTACCCGAAGCTCGGTCTTCATCGAGGAGTCGGCGGTGGCGTACTTGTCCGCTATGTCCAGAAGTTCGTCGAGGGTAGCCGGCTCATCGCAGAGGAGCTTGTGCTTGAGGAGGGTGCCTTCTCGGCATCCGACTGTGAAGTATTCTATGGCTTGCACCTCGTGCACCCCTTCACAGGAGTTGCGGAGCTCGGCCCAACGCGTGAGGTAATCGCGAGTGGACTCGGCGGGGCCTTGTACGCACAAGGAGAGCTGTCTGGGCTTGGGAGCCCGCTTGTAGGTGCTGGTGAAGTTGCGGATGAAGGCTTCTGTGAAGTCTAGCCAGCTGTTGATGCTACGCGGCTTGAGGCTGTTGAGCCAGGTCCGCGCCGTGCCTTGCAGCATGAGGGGCACGTACTTTACGGCGACGCGCCGGTTACCATTGGCTATGCTAACCGCCGTGGAGTAGTCGATCAACCAATCTTCCGGCTTCACGGAGCCGTTGTACTTGGGCGTGTCTCTTAGGAGCGAGAACCCTTTGGGAAAGGGCTCATCGCGGATGCGGGGGCCGAAACAAGGCGGGCCGACATCGTCTTATTCTTCCAATGCCAGGGATCGCGACAGGCGGTCGATCCGATGGCGGGCGTCGTTCTCGCCGATTCCTTCGCGGCGGCCTAGCCGGCCGCTGAGAGTCGGGTGCGCCACTGGCGGCGAGGCGGGATATCTCTCTCCACGGGGCGGAGGCGGAGGCGGGTTGCCCCGCCATTCCATGGCTCGGGGATGACCGTCCGCGTCTCGCTCGATGGAGATCCGGGTCCGGCTGCGGCTGGCAGCCGGCTCCTTCTCGCGTCGCGCGCGGGTATTGCTCGTAGTCGGCGTCCGGGACGTCGCGCCGTGTTCTCGGCACGGGGGAGGGCTTTCCGCGCGGGCGTCGGCCTCGTGTCGCTGCGCGGCTGCGTCGATCAATTGCTGGATGCGCCGGGTCATGTGGGGGAGGTCTTCGGCCTCCAAGCCGTCCAACTCGTCTACAGCCGCCTGGGCGGCACGCAAGTTCTCGAGCGGAGTGGCATAGACCGGGCGGTCGACTCCCAGCGTGTCGGCGATGACGGCGCCACGTTGCTTGACAAGGCCGGCCCGGCTTGGCCTGCCCGGGGTCGGCGTGCCGAAGGCGGCGCGGTCAGCTTCGCGCTGGTAGGCCTCAGTGAGGCGTCTTACGGAGGCCAGCCTCCGGCCCTCTGCGAGGAGGGCGAGGCGGCGTGCCTCCAGTGCTTCGTCGTCGGCATTAGCCGGGAGGGGAGCGGACAAGTCGTGGGCCGCCGTGCGCGAGGCGTCGTGGGCGCTCTCGTCGGCCAGGCCGCTGTGGCCGACAACCATCACTTCGGCGGTGACAGCATCGCAGCCGTCGGCTCGAGGAAGCGGGTCGTTGTAGATCGCGATGTTGGTGGGGAAGGTGTCGTAGGAGGCCGTGTCGGAGTCGACAGGCATCGGGTAGGTGGAGCCAACCGACTCCAGGTCCGCGGCGGGCTCGCTGGAGACATGAAGCTGGCCGAGAAGGTTGGCGAGGTGGTCGGTGCCCGCATCGGTGGCGAGCTCGTTAGAGGTGAGAGTTTCATCGAGGAGATCGGCGAGGCCGCTTGCCGCGCAGATGCTGGTGACGCCTTGCAGCGCGTCGTGGCAAGCGTCATCGGGCGTGCCGGGCTGGCTACGCTCGCGGGGGAGGAATATGGTTCCCGTCTAGAACAGGTCTCCGGACGACGGTGCACCTGGCCCCACGGTGGGCGCCAAATGTCGGGTGGTAGGTGTGACATATGCCAACGGGTGGCTTATCATTGTGGGAGCCAGTAAGACATCGTCGGTGCCTGGAAACGGGATAAGGCGAAGACATGCACGCCGGCGGATCTTACCCAGCTTCGGGGCTCTCCGTGGAGATAACACCCCTACTGCTGCTCTGCGAGGTCTCAGCATGCTCACTAGATGAATCAAGTAGCTACACAATGCTCCTTGAGTTGTTTGGGGGGAGGAGGAAGAAGGGCACGGCTCGCCCGCTTCTACTCCCTAGAACTAGCGGGGGGTCCAACCCTTTGCATGGGTGCTCCGGGGGTTTATATAGGTCTACCCCTCGGGGGTACAATGGTAATTCGACTGGGCACGGGGCCCAGCCGTCTGTGACTGCGCTCGCCGGCTTCTGCGCCGGCTGCTGGGGCCCGCCGACTGGTGGATCCCGCCGGCTGCCGGCCCCTTGGTCGACAGGCAGGCCCCACTGTCCAGGGCCTGGTCGGCGGCTGGTTACTGTGGCTCCATCTTGCTGACGTGGGCTTCATCGTGGTAAGCGCGGCTACAGTACCGCCGCCTGTCAGGCGATTGCTGTAGCCTTGCCGCGTCTTGTCTCCTTAATGGGGCGTCCTCTTCGAGGAAGGCGACAAGCCGGCTGCGGGGAGCCGGCTCTGTCTTGGGCCGACTAGTTGGAGGCGTGGCCGCCTTCGGGCGTCTCTCTGCTCAAAGGGGCCCATCGTCTGGGGGCCACGCTGGCGGCTCGTCGTGGGTGATGCCAGGGTCAACATGGCAACAGTGCCGCGCCGGACGGGTCGTGCCTAGCCCGTACGGCGCACCATGCCAGGCGTGCTCCGGGATTCGGGGGTGGCAGGCTTTACAGTAGCCACGCCCCGTCGCACCGCCGTTAGGTGGGTGCAAACTTTGTGGGTACGGTCTTGATCGCTTTATAGGGAGCCGGCTTCTTGGAGTCGGCCTTCTCATGGCCGGCTTCTGGGAGTCGGCCTTCTCATGAGGGCTAAAGTCGGACCGCCTTCGAAAAGCCGGCCTGAGTCGCAGCCAGCTAGGGGAAGACAGCCTCATGTCTTGGATTCTTGAGAGCCGGGCGGGCTCGTAACTTTTTCAGAAGGGCCATGGGAAGCTGGCTAGGCTACCCATGGCTATTTACTCCGGCACCGGGCGGTGCCTCCGCCACTACTTCGGGCAAGTATTTCCGGACGGAGAGAGTATTTGATGCCAGTAGGCATGTGTGCCCTTGGAGCCACATGATCTTCTTTAAAAAAAAAAGGAAAAAGCGATACCCTTCAGCATTTGCAGTTTTGCACGCCTGCGTCCTAAAAAAACAACTGTGCGCCTGCAGCGCCGAATCCTTCGCCCAACGAGCTCGCCTCATCGTCGGTCCGGCCGGGCTGCCTCACCGCCGTGACACCGGAGCTCGCCGCGGATCGCCCCCAACCCCCCCTTGGAACTCACCGCGCGCCACCCCCAAGTCCCCCTACCCCAAGAATCCCAAAGAATCGCGCTCCCACTTCTGCTCTCCCTCGCCTAGTTGACTCCGTCACGAGGGCTTCTTGCGGCGGCGCGAGGTGAGCCCATCCATCCGGCGGTAGATATTCTTGCAGCACATCTTCTCCGGTGTGCCGTCTGCACCCGCTCCCTTCTCTGGACGTCAGCTGAACTCTGCAGCTTGGGCGCAGGCAACCTGTTCGACGAAATGTCCAGGAGGCTGAACGAGGTGGGGAGCACGGCGGCCGTCGGCGAGCACCGCATCGGGGACCTCCCGGACGACCTGCTGACGTACCTGATGTCGTTCCTGCCCTCGCGCGACTCCGTGCGCACGTGCGTGCTCGCCCGGCGCTGGCGCTCGCTCTGGAGGTCCGTGCCCGCCCTGCGCCTCGAGGACGGCCCGCGGGGCGACGGCGGGCCCAGGAGCAAGTTCGTCGACGAGCTGCTGCTGCGCCGCCACCCAACACCTCTGAACCTATGTGACATCTGTTCCGAATACAACACGTTTCACTGCGAGGAGGCGTTCACACGCATCAAGCCGTGGCTCCGGTACGCCTTCTCGCATGACGTTCGGACGCTGCGAGTTGTTGCTGGTTCGTTGACAACCAACCTGGTCCTCGCCTCGTCGCACCTGAAGAGGGTAGAGCTTTGTTTCATGCAGTTCAAAGGCTCTGTGAATTTCAGGGGCTGTCGGGTGCTAGATGTGTTGGAGATGAAAGGCTGTAACATCCTTGCGAGCATCTTGTGCCAGTCAGTACGACATCTTACCATCAAAGGGGGGTGTTTTGACGATAAAACCCGCCGTTGTATTTCTGCCCCAAATCTCATCAGCTTGAAACTAGCTCCATGCCAGGGTCTGACTCCGTTGCTTGATAGCATGCCATCGCTGGTAACAGCATCTGTTGAATCCTTTGATCAGCAGTATCATTACTGTTTTGATGTACCATGTGAAGGATGCGATAGGCAAGCAAGATTTCCTGTGGTTTTGGAAGGCTTGTCTGCTGCTACAAATCTGGAGTTAACAACTGATGATCAGGTATGCTCCCATTTTTGCTAATTCCTTTGTCTTTTTTTAAATGAGCTAGTCTTTTATGTTTGTGTCCAGATATCTGTCAGTACAAGCATATTGAACAAGCTCATTATGTGCATTGTTGTTTTCACCGTTTCACATGTTTGAATCTTGATGTTTCTATGTACTTGTCTGGCAATATGCATACCTCTACTTGATACTTTAGCCATATGTATACTATTAGAACATGTAGGATTGAGATTAATTTGTGAGCAATATTTCTGAGTAGACCAGAAACTGGCAAAGTACAACTTCGGATATAAATCTCATTATCTGGTAACACTTAATTAACTTAATTTCTATGAAAAATAAGAACCACCAGAAAGTTTCCAAAGCATGTACTCTCTCCGTCCCATAATGTAGGACGTTTTTGACACTACACTAGAGTCAAAAAAACGTCTTACATTATGGGACGGAGGGAGTACTTCTGTATCTCAAAAAGCATCATGTACTTGTTTTGTTTTTAACCCCCTTCATTTTGTCCAGTTGTCTATTTTCAGAATGGATTTGAAATGGTGCCCCATGTTTAGCAAGCTCAAATGCTTGTTGCTGAACAAATGGTGTGTGGCTGATCATTTCACTGGATTGGTTTACTTCCTCCAGCACTCACCAATTCTAGAGACGCTGACACTTCTGCTTGATTTTCAAACTCACGAGGTATATATTCTCAAAGTTTGATAGGTTTTTTCTTTGAAGTCGCCATGTACCTCCTGCTGACTTCAGGAAAATATTTCTGTTTGCTACAGAAATGGCATGTGATGGAAACATATGGAATCTATGACCCAAAGGAACAATCACCACTATCGAAGCATCTCAAGGTAGTCAAAATCATACGCAGCTCAACAAAGGAAGATGTTATAGTTGACCGTATCCTAAAGATCCTCTGTGCCCATGGAGTGCCTTCCGAGCAAATTGACATCCAATAGAACTTTCTTCTGCTGTTCGACTGTAAGTAACCAAACCAGTCTTCATGATTATGTCTTTCATAGTCAGCATATGTATGTACATAGTGTGCTCAGATATGTATAGTTCCGACCGACCTAGTTTGAAGCAGCATTCCGTACTAGTTTTTCACCATTTCTACACCCACCATAATAGTATGCATTTCAATCCGTGGCACTGGCACCACAATGTCATAATAATAGAAAGTATGAAGTAAGGATCAAATGTTTGATTGGTCAAACTAGCAGATGCGAACTAAAGGCAGGCAGCACCGAAGGCAGGAAGACTTTGCAAGTGTCTATCCATTTCGTCTTCGTAATAGGATTGGTTTGGGGCAGTTTTAGCGAGTTGCTATTTTGTTGCCTGTAGATCGAGTAAATGGTCAATTGCTACGCTACCCTATGAACTAACAAAGTTAAACCTTGTGTTGAGTTTCATGTTAATAGCAAACTATCCTTCCAATATTCCCATGACTAGATCAAGTGGCATGCTGGTCCAATGACCTTCCAATCAGTGAATAACCTCTCATAGTCTCATACAGTTTCCTCTGCATCTATCTACTGCTTCTTCCAACCTGGGTTCTCATGTTCTCATTGTTTCCTCTGTTTTCTGTTCAGGCTTCCATTTTGAGCTGGCTCTGTGTCCCTGGATCGCACCAGGAAGGAAGTTGCTGCGTTTTTGTCTACCACACCACCCCAGGATGCGCCTCCCCGTGTCCTGTTCATATATATGACCTTACATGTAAACAGCTGTATGTATGTCTTGCTTGGATGCAGTCAGAGCACGTTGTTATAGTGTCTGTCACCGTGGTCCTCCTCGCGCGCTTTATGCTCATTTCCTCAACTCAGCGGCAGGCCTGAACTGCCAAGATGATGTTTCAGAGACCCTGTCTAGTGTTGGTTGTTCCAGGATCGCACTGGTTGATTCCAGAACTATAAATTCTGTCTTGTGGCTAGGATCGGTTTCCAGATGTATGTGTATACTAAACTAAAACCACACCCTAAAAATACAGACAGGCACCCCTGTCGAAGTTGCTTGAACCAAAGGATGAAGATGTTTCTCTTTGTCGCGCTGCTGCTGAGATTTGCACTTTATATTTGCTGTTTTTTAGGGTGTAAATACTAAATGGAAGCAGGTATAGGTCTCTGGTTACCAGAATTACGATTGAATTCATGGATATGATGTAGGTCTCCGGTTACCAGACTTGGGGACAAATATTTTGAATCTATTTCTTTTGCAAGCGATCCTGCTAGTCAATCACAGACAGTATGGTGACCCAGAGTGTATGCTATGCTGATCACAAAATTCGATCCTCTGGATGTATTCCCTTTATTTTGCTGCACACAGTTTCAATCAAGTGCCAAGAGCTACCTAACAATTCATTGGTCCAAGGTACGCTGAAAACATGGACTTGAGAATCTATGTAGTATTTAGACTGGTGGAGGGAATATTTATTCTAGAGAGGTTGTTTATGCCTACTCAGCAAACATCATATGACTGCTATTCAGTCAAATGGAGTTATCAATTCATTAGTTCACGATAATCATACTGTATTTTTACTCACTATGCCTGCAATGTTTTTGATTGTCCGCTTTTTACTCATTCCAGCATCTGTGTCTGAAAAATATCAAAGGAAACAACGCCACTATCACGTAGTACAAGGACATGTGTTTCATAGGGGAAGAATTGCCGCTCTGGCAATACCGGCCTTTTTCGACGCTGCCTAGATCTCTGTAACCCTGTCTGCTTCAAGGCCTGCGCTGTATAACAACTGGTGGCCAATGTTAACAGGTTCGAAACTTTTGTTTACAATTGACAAACCTTTATTCCGTACTTGGTTTCAGATGTAAATGAACCATGGCATTTTGTGCAGTTCTCACGTAAGTACCTCGTACTAGCGATGCCACTCATACTTTTCCGATTTTTTTTTGAAACTATGATGATTTTTATAGCAAATTCGGAAACTATACACCCTAATGGAGAAAAATCAAAAGTATCACCCCGTCGGCCTTCTGTTGGCCGAAAAGGGACTTTTCGGCCTCCTGTTGACCGAAGAGGGACTTTTCGCCCAACCGTTGGCCAAAAAGGACTTTTCGGCCAAGCGTTGGTCAAAAAGTACTTTTCGGCCAACAGTTGGCCAAAGAGTCCCTCTTCGGCCAACACCTGCTCTACTGTTTAAAAAAAATTCATATCAAATAGGATTTTTAGTATTTTAATTTGATTCTTTTTGCATTAGATTAGAAATTTTATGAAGTTTATGTAGATATCAAGTTTGACTAGATTTGAAAGTTTGAATTTTATTTTTTCATGAATTTGCTTAAATAACTAGATTGCCTATAATTTGAGTTAGGAGTATTTTTTAAGATGATTCTTTTTGCTACTGGTTCTTTGTGAATTTCTTTATCAGTAGTAATTAATTGGCGAATTTTATAATTATTTAAAATTAGGTTTTTATGAAAACAGTTCTGTTTTAGTGTTTGTTAGGTTTTATGCTATTTCTTTTAATTTTAATTGCTTTAAATTTTTTTCTTTAGTTTTTTGACATATTCTTTTTGTTTCTGTTTAGTTATCAGTAGCTATTTTCTTTGTAGTATTTTTTTGTATTTTATTTCTTTTATCCTACTAGAAAACTTGTTTTGAGCTTCATAGGAGTTTATATTTAAAAGTGCCTTGTAAATCCTGTACAACCATTGCCGTTTTATACATGAAAAAATACTTTCCCGCAATCTTTTTTCCTCCATTTTCTTTGCCGCCATTTTATTTCCCGCCATTCTCTCCCGCCACACTAAGGAGTGCTGCATCGACGGAGGATGACGATAATGCCTTCATGTGGAGTGTGAAACACTGTGTGTGAGAGAAGTCATAAGTGTGAAACACTCTCCGATGATGATGACGAAGCTGCAAACACTTATGACTTCTCTCAGACAGTGTTTCACACTCCACCAGCAGCACCGACGCAGGAGACACATACCGTGTCAGACGATGTTATCTACGATCGTGGACACCATGAGGCTCGTTTTATAAGTTGAGAAGCGAAGATGGCGAGAAAGAAGATGGCGGGAAAGAAGATGGCGGGAGAGAATGGCGGGAAAGAAAATGGAGGGAGAGAATGGCGGGAAATAAAATGGCAGGAGAAAATGAAGGGAGAGAATGACGTAAAAACCTAATTTTAAATAACCCTAAAATTCACTAATTAATTATTACTGATAAACAAAGTCACAAAGAACCAGTAGCAAAAAGAATCATCTAAAAAGAATACTCCTAGCTCAAATTATAGGCAATCTAGTGATTTGAGAAAATTCATGAAAATTCAAATTCAAACTTCCAAATCTAGTCAAACTTGATATCTACAGAAACTATTTCTAATCTAATGCAAAAAGAATCAAATTAAAATACTAAAAATCCTATTTTATATGAATTTTCTAAAAAGTAGAGCAGGTGTTGGCCGAAGAGGGACTCTTTGGCCAACTGTTGGCCGAAAAGTACTTTTTGGCCAACCGTTGGCTGAAAAGTACTTTTTGGCCAACTGTTGGCCGAAAAGTCCCTCTTCGGCCAACAAGAGGCCGAAAAGTCTCTTTTCGGCCAACAAGAGACCGACGGGGTGATACTTTTGATTTTTCTCCATTAGGATGTATAGTTTTCGAATTTGCTATAAAAATCATCATAGTTTCAAAAAAAAAATCTACTTTTCCTGGGCTCCGATTCTCCATCGATCATGTCGAATGAGGGTGATGGGTAAGTGACGAACCTTCCGTGCCTCAACTGGTAGCCAGTACTGTTGCTTCGTTATGAATCATGCTTGTGAAAATTAATAACTCCCTCTGTCTCATAATATAATGTCCCATAATATAAGACGTTTTTTAACACTAGTATAGTGTCAAAAAATGTCTTACATTATGGGACGGAGGGAGTAAATCATAACAATTTTTACTCAAAAAGATATGCGTTACGTATGGTACTTGTATTGTTTTCTAACAAAAGTTCTTACACCATATCTAGATTTCAAACGGTGGCTAGTATGTTGTGGACCATCTGTGATGAACAAATCTTCCTTCCTGACATTCTCAAATTCTTCTTCTAACATGGTAAAGTTGCCAATTTTTTTATGTGATTTCGCCCCTGGATGCAGGTGGGTGAACTTCACCAAGTTCCTGACGGGTGCGTCGATCATGCGTAGCGTCGCCATCATGTCGATCCTGAAGCATGCTGTCGTCATTGGGTGGGGCTCACTGGCGATGGAGATGTTTTCCTTCGCCATCATTGGGTTGTAAGCTACAAAATTTAGTTACTCAAGTTTTTCATATTTCGATTGTTTACACAATTTAATTTATGCATTGCACTTCCCAGTTGAGAGCAAGCATTCTCCTCGCCCTCGGTTTAGTTCAGGGTTTCCGTGCATCCCAGCGCTTTCATTTTTCTCGATTTGTTTCAAGCTTTTCTGCATGGTCTTGGAGTCGGAGTTCCTCATGGGACGTCCATGCGATTATGTGAATGTCTACACCTTCACCCATATTTCTAAGGAAAAAGATACTGGAACAAATTAATCATCCGATTTCCTCCTCCGATGTCTACATGATAGAACCCGTCGTCATGACACGAGAGCATGCGCGACCACCAAGGCCAGCAGCAGCGACGACGCGGGCCATCGGCGTGCCGGGACGGTGGCGGCGCTGATGATCTGCACCGGGAAGAGGCAGGTCTTGGTGGAGGCGTTCTTGTCGGAGATCTTGGCGAGGCCGTCGAAGTCGCAGGCGCGCACGTCCTGGTCCTGCATCTGGAAGTACATGTTGAATGCGTAGGAGATGTTGCTCATCTCGTCGAGCCCGTTGCAGGAGCAGCCGTAGCCCAGCGCCGTGCAGTCGCCGCTGGCGCAGGCGTACTGGATGTTCCCCCCCAGCTTGTCCATGTCCTCGTCCTTGGCGGCCTCGTCGTCGAACACGCACCACTGCTTGGGCAGGTACTCCACGCCGGACACGGCGGCGAGCCGCCTGTCGTTCCCTTGCCCCGACAGGTCCATGCTGAACTTGGGCTTGCCGTCGTAGGTGAGGATGCCCCAGTGGCGCTCGAAGTTGCCCGGCGCGATGCTCTTCATGTCCTCGTCGAAGAGGCCGAAGAGGTAGACCTCCATCTTGCCCGGCCGGAGGTGGGTGCCCTCGTTCTTGGCCAGCTTCTTGAGGAGGCCGTCATAGAAGCGTCGCGCGAGCTTGGCGTTGGCGTTCTTGTTGCCGTCGGTGGGCCAGCCGATCTCGCCGACGACGACCTTGAGGCTGGGCACGCCGGCCTTCTTGAGCGCGCTCACCAGCGTGTCGTAGTTGGCGTCGAACACGTTGGAGTAGCTGACGCCGCCGTTGTCCTGGATGCTGCGGCCGCCGTCGAAGAAGGCGAACTCGAAGGGGAAGTTGTCGCTCTGGTAGAGGCTGAGGAAGGGGTAGATGTTGACGACGAAGGGCGCGCCGTGGTCGTGCATGAACTTGACCATGTCGGTCATGACGTCGTCGATGTCGGGCCGGAACTTGCCCTCGGAGGGCTTGTCGCCGACGTAGACGTCGGCGTTGAGCGGCACGGTGGCCTTGACCTTGTCGCCGATCCCGGCCTCGTCCAGCGCCTTCTGGATGTTCTTGAGCGCCGGCACGGTGTTCTCCATGAAGCTGCCGTTGTAGCTCTTGAGGAAGGGCTCGTTCCCCACGGCCACGTAGCGGAGCTTGAGCCTGTCCCCGTAGCTGGTGGCGTTCTCCGCCACCCAGTCCTCGGCGTTGCCGTAGCTGGTCATCGCCTCCAGCATGTCGTTGGGGATGCCGAGCATGACCTCGATGCCGGAGTCGAGCAGCGCGCCGACGGGCCAGGGGTCCGCGTCGAACAGCTTCACCTTCATGATCCCGTTGGCCTTGAGCATCTTGACCACCTCGGAGGGGTCCAGCTGGTGCGTGCACTGCGATCCCCAGTTCACGCCGAGGTCCACGGCGGAGCTCGCCGGGGACACGCCCACGGCGAGTAGCAGCGCGGCCACGCCGGCCAGCAGCCGCAGGAGCGGAGCCATGCCGGGGTGATCGATTCCTTGTTTTGGTACGTTGGGATTTGGTGGTGCTCGTGGTCTGCCTGTGGCCCTCCTCCTCGCGGGGCTGTGCAAAGCAGAGGAGAGGAGAGGAAAATGGCGGGGAAAGCGGTTGGAATTCTACCAACCAATTTCTCCTTCATGCACACATGCATCATGCATGTAACTTATTTATTCGCTGCACTTGCAACTTCAAACATTTTACGAGTTGATTAATCCAAACTGGTGCAAGTATATTGATCAATCTCTACTTTGCCACCTACATTGTCAGGAAGTAAAAAAATCAGAAAAAAAAAACTGAGTTAGTGCGGCCACTCTTCATATATGATATATTCAAATCAATATTGCTAAGTCCTAGTCGACTGAGACTTCGATGCTATATTCGTTTAATCTTGCATTGCATGAAGACCCATGCATTTTTTCTTTTTAGTTTTTCAGTTTTTCTTCTTATATACTATGGCACTTGACTGAGACTTGGTTAAGTCTTGATTGAGACCTAGCCACAGCCTATGCAAATAATCTTTTTCGTTTCTTCCTAGGGTTGATTGAAGACGAGTCCAGGGCAAAGAGAAACATTGGAGCTAATGATGATTATCAACATTTTGTTTCCAGGGGTAGTCATTCGTTTTCTAAGTGAGCATAAAAACCTTACCATCTCAATTTTGTCAAAGAACGTTAGCAATTTGTGGTGTGGACAGTATTGCAGTTTAAGGACCGTCTACCATCACATAATGAATAAGAGTTACCAATTGAATGTTTGTGTATGTGCCATTTATTTACCGTTTTTGTAATTGTTTGTAAGAGAGAGAAAATGTATGGATCAGCAGCCGCGCCAAGGAGCACCCTAGCCTCTAAATTTTCGAAATATAAAGGTAAAATCTAGTTAGCGGAGGATGCCTCATTGTGATTCACGGCAGCTTTTGGAATTTAATTGGATACATCATTTATTTGTGGGATTAAGACAAAAGGTATTAATCTGACTTCCACGCACTTCGAGTTAATCTGACGAGCGCCAAATTTGGATGGGTATTAACCACCAAAAGGAATGAGTTGTTGATGTAAGACCTCCTGTGATTTTTTTCTTCCTCTCCTTGCCAATCTTGTTCCTGCTATCCTCTTCGTCCATCATCCTCCTGATGTCCTCCTCCACCTTCCTCCCATGGTCCCATGTCCATGCTATTGGAGATGCAAGGGCACAACACTTTCGTCCTCCTCTCGTCCGCCATTCCTCACGTTGGTGCCACCATCAGCCAAATAACCCGACGGTGCTCGAGGAAATCCGAAGATCAATGACCAATCGATAGGTTATGTCCCGGCCATACAACACTGACCCCACCACGCTCCTAGGGTGACAGGGGTCACTTGCAACCCTGCTGGGCATGTTGTAAGCATCAACCTCCAATCTACAGAGCTTGTGGTCTACCTACCTCCAAGCACCTCCAGCCTCCAATATCTGCAGAGCATCAAACTTATGAAGAACTCCCTCTCTCGTCCACTCCCTTCCATGGCAGGTCCAGCCTACAACACGTCAACCTCGACGAAAAATACTTTGGCTCAACTGCCCATCACTTCTTCACATGCCTGGAAAACGTTGTCCACATCTCCCTTTGGAACAAGATATCAAACATGTCATCCAGAGGCTGGACGTTGTCCTACAAATACCTCTAATGGCCTGATCCCGGGCACATTGTAATGACAGGGAGCCACACATGTATGGGCTAAAGTGGGATTGACATAATTGAACTAATAACCTAGTGTATGCTTTTGAGGGGAGGGGACCAAGGCCCCCACCCCCACCTCGTCTTTTTCTCGTAGGATCCCATATTAAACATAATTCACAGAGATCTCAAACATAACTTGATCCCATATTAAAGATTTTTTTTTGAGGAATCCATATTGAATATATTATAACAAGCGGCCCACAAATTCGGTTGATTTTCCATCTTCCCAAAGTTCCCAAGCCTGAGCAAATAGAATCACTGATGAAGTTGCTATATTTTATATTGGACTAATGAAAGTTTGTGGATTCAAAATAATTACATAGTTTATAAGGTTGGAGAAGACGGTGACTTGCAATGAGTCGATCTTCAAACTTATGATCTCCAACAGAAAGACCCTGAAGCTATAGATGTCCGCTTTACGGATAATTCACCTTCCACCACATATTCACGCGACATGTAATTTGTTGTCTCAGTTGTTTCAACAAAAATTGGAGAAAGAAATTGAGTTAAACTACACCATGAAAACCATAGAGCAAGGGTTGCATAAGTAGTTACCTACAATGTCCAATCGAAACTTCTCTTGACCCAATGACCTGTTGATCTAGGTTCCATCGTAGCCAAAAGGGACTAACTAGCAAGAAAAATTGCAATCCCTTCCGCGTAATAGTGCACCTACACGCCTTCATCTTTCTTTTTTGACTGCAATACCTAGAGCTAACTATTGACATTTTGGGCTATCCGATAAAAAGAACGCTTGTAAGGAGTGAAGGAAATATGCCCTAGAGGCAATAATAAAGTTATTATTTATTTTCTTATTTCATGATAAATATTTATTATTCATGCTAGAATTGTATTAACCGGAAACATAATACATGTGTGAATACATAGACAAACAGAGTGTCACTAGTATGCCTCTACTTAACTAGCTCGTTAGTAAAAAATGGTTATGTTTCCTAACCATAGACAAAGAGTTGTTATTTGATTAACGGGATCACATCATTAGGAGAATGATGTGATTGACTTGACCCATTCCGTTAGCTTAGCCTCGATCGTTTAGTATGTTGCTATTGCTTTCTTCATGACTTATACATGTTCCTATGACTATGAGATTATGCAACTCCCATTTACCGGAGGAACACTTTGTGTGCTACCAAACGTCACAACGTAACTGGGTGATTATAAAGGAGCTCTACAGGTGTCTCAAAAGGTACATGTTGGGTTGGCGTATTTCGAGATTAGGATTTGTCACTCCGATTGTCGGAGAGGTATCTCTGGGCCCTCTCGGTAATGCAAATCACATAAGCCTTGCAAGCATTACAACTAATGAGTTAGTTGTGAGATGATGTATTACGGAACGAGTAAAGAGACTTGCCGATAACGAGATTGAACTAGGTATTGAGATACCGACGATCAAATCTCGGGCAAGTAACATACCGATGACAAAGGGAACAACGTATGTTGTTATGCGGTCTGACCGATAAAAATCTTCGTAGAATATGTAGGAGCCAATATGAGCATCCAGGTTCCGCTATTGGTTATTGACCGGAGACGTGTCTCGGTCATGTCTACATTGTTCTCGAACCCGTAGGGTCCGCACGCTTAAGGTTTCGATGACAGTTATATTATGAGTTTATGAGTTTTGATGTACCGAAGAAGTTCGGAGTCCCGAATGAGATCGGGGACATGACGAGGAGTCTCGAAATGGTCGAGACGTAAAGATCGATATATTGGACGACTATATTCGGACATCGGAAAGGTTCCGAGTGGTTCGGGTATTTTTCGGAGTACCGGGGAGTTACGGGAATACGGGGGAAGAAGTATATGGGCCTTATTGGGCTTTAGGGGAGAGGGAGAGGCAGGCCGCGCGCCCCCCCAAGGCCTAGTCCGAATTGGACTAGGGGGAGGGGCTGCGCCCCCTCCTTCCTTCTCTTCCCTCTTCCCCTTCCTAGTCTCCTACTCCTACTACATGGAAGGACTCCTAGTTGGACTAGGAAAAGGGGAATCCTATTCCCGGTGGGAGTAGGACTCCCCTAGGGCGCGCCATAGAGAGGGCCGGCCCTCCCCTTCTCCACTCCTTTATATACGAGGGCAGGGGGCACCCCATAGACACACAAGTTGATCCTCGTGATCGTTTTCTTAGCCGTGTGCGGTGCCCACTTCCATCATAATTCTCGATAATATTGTAGTGGTGCTTAGGCGAAGCCCTGCGACAGTTGAACATCAAGATCGTCACCACGCTGTTGTGCTGACGGAACTCTTCCCCGACACTTTGCTGGATCGGAGTCCGGGGATCGTCATCGAGCTGAACGTGTGCTAGAACTCGGAGGTGTCGTACGTTCGGTGCTTGGATCGGTCAGATCGGGAAGACGTACGACTACTTTCTCTACGTTGTGTCAACACTTCCGTTGCCGGTCTACGAGGGTACGTAGACAACACTCTTCCCTCTCGTTGCTATGCATCAACATGATCTTGCGTATGCGTAGAATTTTTTTTGAAATTACTACGTTCCCCAACAAATATAGGCCCGCTTGCCATCCACACTAGAATAGATAGAGTTTTCCAAAGAAACCTGCTAGTGGAGGAAGGCATGTTCCTCAAGTTTTTAGCTCGCTAAATGATACAGTCCTCGCTGATGGATTTTGTATATTGCATGTGGTTCCATTTTTTTCTCTTAATAAGACTTCTGGATGACGAATTATCTCTATGGATTACCTTGAAACTTTAATATTGGCGAAGATACATAAATCCTCTCGCGACCCCCTATATTATTTTGAATCTAGTTGGCAAATCAAACTATGATTTTTGGTGCAGCATCTTGAAATGTCAACAAGCATTAGTTTGTTATAAATAATATCAATTGCCAATCTAAGAAGTTCAAGTGATAAGCGAACATAACATACAAAAAGGAAGGCACAAGTTGTTGTTAGGTAAGTATTCATATATGATAAGCTTATCCATTCATGAATGCAAGGACGACGAATTCTAACACGACTCTGGTGCTACAATTTGGCAATAAAATTTACTTCATTTGTAAGCTCCTCGTTACCTTGTTCATAATCATCACTGATCCTTTTGATAGTAATTACATCTTCATTCTCATTTATACCTTTTTAGGCCTTGTCAAAACCTCATTTTCCACGCACAGTAGAATCAGAGAATTTTCCATGCATTGGATAATAAAAATATTTTGAGGAATGTAACGACAACACTAATAAAACATCTCGTTAGCCACTGATATTCAATCACCATATTTTTATCAGCATG